TCTTTGTGGGTTTTTTTTTTTTTAATCACACCCCTTCAAGTCTTCAAGTCATAATTTAACGAGTGGGCAAAGCTGCAGTTAACAGTCTTGATTGAGTTTGAATAAAACAACCTTTTTCAATTCCATATGACACAGAGGCTCTGACATTTGGACTTCTCTTGAATCTGACTACATGTTTTCTGTAGAATACAGTGGAGTAACTTGGACGCAATCTTTGCAATAAAACTTTTATGATCCCTTTGAGGAAACTGGTGCAACTATTTTTACTTGACAACTTGACCTCCAGACTTGAAAAGAACTTCAAATAAACTTGACCGAAAACACACATGTAGCTTGTTATTGTGAATATGTTTGTGACAACGTTTAAATTTTCAAATAGGAAAAGGGAGATTCCACTTTTTTCTCCCTGAAAACCAACACGTGTGCTTTGAATTCACATGTGAATTTCTCTGTAAGAGCACAGTTGCTTAACCGCCACTCCTGAACGACCTAAACAGACTAGACGAGCCACGGCTAATATTTTACTAGCATGTGCCCTGTGGCTGGTTGTGTCCTGTTACAGCAGGATGTGGTGACTGACGTTAAGTCTGCCTGATCTTCCCAGACTAAATCTCCTGAACGGACCAAGACCGGCCTTCGACACCCGGTCAATGATTAGAACTGAAATAGGTTTGAGAGACCAGCTGCACTCTAAACCGGCCTCTCAACAGCCCCAGTCATATAACTGGAGACAGAAGACAAAGACATGGTTGAAAGGAAAGGAAAACTGATCTGTAATTGGTTTCACCAGGAGGAAATCTGATTGGTTTTGTGTTTAGATAATGGCAGTGGCAAGTAATTTCAGCGTCACATTTTTAACATCTATGCTGAATGAGGCTGCTATAGCTAACAGTTGTTCAGGTTAACTAAATGACTTTCAAAACTGCAACTTAAATGTTTTGGGGCGGACGCTAAAGAAAAGACAGTTTCCTATGTCACAGTAACCTAGAAACAAATCTACTTTATCAAATCTTTCACTTTCACAACAGCCTTTTAATGTTGACCTAAATTTGTGGAACACGAATTAACACATTCACTGCAACCGTGAACTTATCTAAAGAGAGGCTGTATGTGAGACATAAATGTCCGGGGACCGGACTTTACCCTGTCAGCTCCAAGAGTCCATGTGTGGATTTCAAATTCCTCTAAATCTTAGAGATATTGATTATTATCTCCTTCAGCTGCAACGTAGCAATGTGAAACTATTCTATTTATTTCCTAAATCAACATATGTTATATGTTGTGGTAAGTACGTGTGTTCACCTGTGTTTTTACAGCAACGACCAAACCACTGAGTAATCACATGAGCCCCCGGTCAGTGATCTGGTGCAGTCTGATGTGATCATCACTTTGAGAGCGAATTTTTCAAAAACCAAAGACATCAGATAAAAGATCAACCCTACTTTCCCAGAGCTATAAGAAGTATAAGTCCCCTGGTTCTTATAATGACAAAACATTGATTTATAATGTCAACGCTGCGGCAATGTCTACCAATTATATTTGCAGAAATTAAATGGTAATCATTTTGACAGGAAGTAGATGTTGTTGGTCTCTAGATAAATCATAAAATCAGTTCTGACCTTCTCAGTCATTTGTTGGGATTCAATGTGTGAAAAAGAAATAAACTGCAGCACCATCAAGTTGGTAAAAATCATTGCTGAGCAGAAACATTTCCTGACATCTACAGACAACAATTCACATGAAAGGCAAACAATTTTTGCAAATCAGGGCCATTCTTGCTTCAACAGCTTCAAATGCTCATGTGCCATAAACCCACTGAATCTAAATATATCATAAAATGCTGAGAGGGAAGAAGTGGAGAGAAATGACAGTAAGCATGTGTACTGTATGTGTAAGAGAGAGAGAGGTAGAGGCTGTATGGCAGAGAGAGAAAGAGAGAGAGAGAGGAGGAAGCAGTCACATGCTAGGAGGAGGGAGGGAGGGGGGAGACTGTCTGTCACCCGTCTACGTCACGAGTAACGCCTCCCTCCCTTCCCTCCCTCCCGCCCTCCACTACAACTCACATGACTGCAGCAGCCCTGTTCTGTAACTCCAGTCACGAGGATAGAGTAGTATTACAATAACCAGCCGGCAGGGGCGAGCAGCACAGACACACACTGAGAGAGGGAGAGGGAGAGAGAGAGAGAGAGAGGGAGAGGGAGAGAGAGAGGGAGACGGACGAAAGCTACCAGCCAGCCCTAATAACCCTGAGTAAATATTAACTTACTAAGGCTACATTTGTAGAGTAGATAACCTTATCGTTCTACACATGAAGAAAGAACTTAAGCAGTGATACAATGTACAATTAGATTTTTTTTTCCCTGTTCCTCATACTCATGTTGCACTTTTATCTCTCTCTCCCTCCATGTGTCACTCAAGGACTTTGCAGCAAACCAGCATTACAAGCCCCAGAAGAACGATGTGCAAAAATTAGACTCCGTGTTTTCCCGTTCTTTATGCACCATTCCAGCAAACATATGTCTCCTGCATCATTTTACACACAAAATTCAGCCTGATGTATTTGAGGTCTATGGAAACTTTTGGACGTGTACTTGACTTGGAATGAGGTGCTGTGGTTTTTCACAATGATCGAGGTAGCAATGACTGATCAACAGCATCATAAAGGGTGGGATAGTGTATCATAGCAGGTGTTATCAAAATGATAAGATGACTGTTAAATAGTAGAGGAGCATAATAATGCCTTTGCAGATTAATGGGGTCATGATAAAAGTCACCACTGAATATATTATAGACATGCAAGTGTCTGCAGGGATGTTGTGGTGATACCATGGGACACACTAATCCAAAATGTAGCTATGGTAAAGCCATTGTATAAACTCAATAAGCTTACAATATACAATAAGTACAAATATGAATGGTATGGTTGAGTGATGTCACAGGATGTGACGATCTATTGATGTGGTTCTTCCTCAATGATGGGCTGTTTCTTCTCATTTACCGCTTCACATCATGCAGTTCACATCTGTGTGTGTGTGTGTGTGTGTGTGTGTGTGTGTGTGTGTGTGGAAGCACATGTCACTGCTGCATGTTATAAATAGCCCACAGTCTCCCTGGATCCCACCACACACTGAATTAACTCGCTTAAGCTGCCAATCACACACACACACACACACCTATCACATCCTCCGATGACCGTGCAATCAGAGCAATAACAATCACCATGACGTAATCTTATGTCACACTGTGATGCAGTAAACACCGGGGTCCCATATTCCAATGACAGACAGTGTTGTGGGTTTACGTGCACGGCAGAAATCCGTGTGTGTTGTGGAAGCACGACTCCACAGCCGCAGAAAGGTGGAGATGGACCTGATACGTTCTGTCGTGTGAGAAATAGATCCCCCCCCCAACCAAACCCCATTCGGAAATCTGCTAATTTATTGTTTCCTTCTATGTGCGCAACAAAATACATATCATATTGCACAACATAAAGCTATTGTTAATCAATAATTTCTTCTAGTAAATTCGGAATGCATATTATTTGCAAAGCAACACTTAATTTCGATGAAATCTCAACTTCTATAATTGTTTCACACCACTCGCTACCGCCCCCCGCGGTGCACTTAGATAGGAGAACATTCTGGGATTAACAGGAGAACCAATTATAAAAGTTGAATTATTATTTTAATAAATGCTGCTATGTGTGTTGAGTGTAAACCGAATTCAATCAAACACCCTATCCATTCATTTATAATATGAATTTATGTTTTACATGTCATGCCTGATAGCCTGCAGGCAAGGAATCCCTGAACTGTAGAAATTTCTGAACGCAGTTTGGCGTCATGACGTTTCCTTGAAATTTAGCGCAACATAATTTCCCTGACCCCCCCACCCCCCCACCCCGGCAACACCATCGCTTAATACACTGTCCGTCATCACCACCCCTCCAGAAACACAGCCCAAAAAGATCCACCGTTTTCATTTGGCCAAAGCAAACTACCGTGTGAACCAGACAAACGTTTTGTAACCGTTACCAAACGATTACGCAAACGATTACGAAAACGCAAAATCGCTCCAACTTTCTCAGCTGACCAAAACCCTCCGTCTCCTCTGCATCTCGTTGCTCTGCAGACCATTATCTGATTAATTGGCCAATCTGGGGTAAAAATTACAGCGATGGGAGTTTCTCAACTTTGCAGCGCAACGAGCGAACCTGCAGACACCCAACGAAGAGACCCACAGATCCCCAGTTAAGCTCACGGTGCGGTGGCAAGCAGCTTATAGTGGAGTGCATAAATAACATTACACAGCACTGATGTAGCCTATAGCAGTGTTTCCACAAACGGACTCTTTATTGAGCATCCGCTTGGATTGTGCGAGAAAAATGTACACAACACACGTATATACATCGAGCCGAGCAACACATCAAGAAAAAGACACACAGGTATGCATTTTCTCTGCCCAAATTTTAAATCTAAGCAGTCCTGTAGCCAGTGGATTAGTATCATAATGTCATAATATCATAATAGTCCTCAGGCCAAGTCCATGCGTTCAGGGGCGCACCACGTGTCCAAGTCTCCGGCACTGAAATTAAAACTTCCCTCAAGAATGCGTCAAAAGTTTCCCAAGCGCCCCTCTGCATACCAAATAATCCTCCCCGAGCAACAACACACCGGCTGCCCTCCGCTTCCAGCGCCAACACACAGACATTTATTCGTTTAATCCGTCCAGTTCCCTCATTGCCCACGACCGATGACATTTCCTCCAAAAACACGTGAAAGCCAGACCTCAAGACATAGTAGACATTCACACACACACACACACATACACACGCAGACCGAGACACCGGTTCGCACTGAGCTGAAGAGATGCTGCTGACAAGCCGGGCGAAAGGCTCGCATCAACCGGGGATAGCGTGCGCTACAGCCGGCGACACGCGAAGACGCACCCCGGTCTGCAAAGCCCAAAGTCCCGTCCGTCCATAGAGGCTGGGATCTTACCTGGCTGCCGGAGTTTTCTGTCAGGTAATTGAAGACAAAGGACGAGAGTTCCTCATCTAATAGTGGAGCGCAGTCCGCCATCTTCTAGTGAATGAGGAGCCGTGGAGTCAGAGAGCGGAGTATAGGAGGAGGAGGAGGAGCAGTGGGCACAGGCCGCCTGCAGGGGGCGCATCTGTTTACACACAGAAACAAACCAAGACATTAAAGACACGCGGTTCTCCAAAGTGGGGTCTGGGGACCTCCAGGGGCCAATGCAGTGACTCCAGAGGTCCCATAATAAAATGAGGAATAATTTAATTTAATTGTCAATGAAATGATTGGAAATTATTACCATTTATTTGCTACAATTTGTCTTGTGGAATCACATAAAGTGATTTCAATAAATGTTATAATAATAATTAAATGAGATTACAGGTATTTTTTTAATGTCAAACGTGAAGGTGTTCAATATTTACAGGTGAAATATATGTGCAAATATGATATCCTGAATAACCTAAATGATTTGTTCACAGTATTTATAGACTACTAGCTAATCTCTCCTTATTTATTTACTAGTGGTTTAATTGTAATCAAAATTTGTATGTAATACCTCAGATCAACAATTCAGCATTATCGTTTGTCATCAAGGCCAGAAACAAACAAGCTAACATAAAAGAAACCAGTTGGAAGCTGCTTTTATTCAGTGCAACTTCAGTCATCATCACAAACACTAAATACAAAGGGCCTGACCGCTCAGGACGCACTTTGTAGGCTTGAAAGCTCCGGTTGCACCTCTCTGCCTTTGTTTTGAGAAGCCGCCACAGACATAAGTGTTGGCAGAACCCTGTTTCTGTTGCTGGGTAACTGCAAAAACCAGCTTCTGTCAGTCATTTAGCGTTGTTGATGACATATAGCTGATGCCACTGAAACTAAAGAAAAACCTGATCCCCTATTTCAGTTGCAGCGCTGCAAATTGATGCCGTTTTTGTTGACATGAGATGAGCAGGAACAATGAACAAAAACCTTTCTGTTTTAACAGCATCAAGGTCTGACTGTGCTGTAGGAGAGTTGATAGGGAAGTGCAGCGATGTTTTTCAGATGCTTCTCTAAAGATCATAAGGGTGAGTTGAAGTAATCAAATGTTATCAAGTACTTGTTACACATTTCTAATTGTAAAAGTAATTACAATACTTTGGTAACAAAAAAGTAATGATTTACTTTACTCATTGCAAAAAAAAAAACCTTTCAACACCTCCAAACCCTCCACCGCCACTTCTCACATCCGATGTATTTAACTTAGAGCCAGACAGCCTACAGTTTGGAGGTATTTCCTGACCATCAACAGCTAATGTAGCCCTTGGGGGGGGGGGGGCTAGAGCAAGTTGGCTGCTGATTGGCGGTTTGATCCCCGGCTCCCCCAAATCCAGGTTGCATCAGGAAGGGCATCCGGTATACAATCTGTGCCAACGCCATGCTCACAGGAGCAGCCAAAAGACAACAGCAACAACAGCTAACATAGCCCTGGTAGCTGCACGCTTATCCTCACTGTTAGGCTGGTTCACCACACACCCTCCAACTCCCCGCAGATCCCTCAATGTTGGCTCACCCGTGTTAAAATGACACACTTGGTGCTCAGCTTTGCCTTGTGAAGGTCAACCATTTGTAGTTATGTTGTTGTTTGCGGCTGGGAGAAAGAACAGTGACCCTGCTTAAACTAGCCAATTCACCTTAAGACTCAACCTGAAGCAGACTCGAGGCCGATTGGTAGAATTGGAGGCCATCCTCCTGTAAAAAGAACCGAGGCCATAGGTCGTTCGTGCAGCTGGTTATTATGAAGAATGTCTTCCTGTAATTGATGATGACTGATGCTTTGGTTTGAATTCTGCAGTGCACTTTGGTGACGAGCATCTGCATGTGCTGTGATTGTGCGATCAGAGCTGTCCTTCTACCTCCCTCCTCTGCAGCTCTATCACAATTTGATGAAGATGTCAGGTCACTGTCAGTTTTGTGCGTTTCTGGCATGTGATGAAAACATTTTAGCAGAAAACGACTTTTGCAAAAAAAAAGTTATAAAACTAAAGAAGTGATCAGTTTTATGTCAGTGACTCATGCAGTTTGCAAGATCACACTGGGAATTACAGTAACAGTATCATGACATGTGGTGGATCAGGATACAACACATGAAAATCAGTTATATCTGAGTGTGACTTTGGTTTGGTGTTTTATTCAATGTGAAGTTATTAAATTATTCTTTAAAGATGAAATCATGGCCTGATGAAATCTAAACTTTTATAGTAGTGTAAGAGATTTTTATGGCAGTCTGTTCTGTGATTGCACCACATGTTTCCACAATTGAAGCTATTCCCACAAGCAGCTGATATAGGCCGGAAGGGAAAATCGAGCATTAGGACACACACACTGACAGCATTGAATGTAATGTTATCACTGCATTGCAGCACACGGCTTTTCTACTCTCTCTTTCTCTCTCTCTCTCTGTGTTGTGTGTGTGTGTGTGTGTGATGGTCAGGAAAACTGTCAGAGGCAGGTGATGGCCAATAACGGAGCTCTATGTGTCTTTCAAAAGCCTGGCTGACAACACTGACCCTAATGCTGTGCATGTGTGTGTGTGTGTGTGTGTGTGTTTACAATTGAACTTCTGTCTGTGTGAGGACCAATTTGTTTTGAGTCTTCTTCTGAGCTCCTCACTCCTTCTGACCATTGCTCCTGTCTGTGATAGTACGGTACACAGCGCGGCAGCGGTGTGATTACTGGGATGAGGGATGGCAAAAGAAGTCTGACTGGTCAGGAAAGACGAGCCGTCAGTTGATCAAACAGGTTTCTAACAAAACTCATGCAAATTTGTTTGGAAGAGAAAACAAAGCTGAGACGTTCAACGCGCTCCGTGGACCAACATCATGTTTAAATCAAAGTGTTCGTATTGTCATTGTGTGTCATTGTACGTTTTGAGTGTGCTCATTGTTTTACCTCTACATCCAGCGGTTTCGATCATTTGGCTAAACTGGTGACTTGTTTAAAACCTATTTGATTGTATGACAGTTTTCCAGATCTCAGCCACGCCACACTTCGTTAAAACAATGAAACAATGAAAAACTGGAATTACCGCTTTGCAGTTGCCTGCCTCCATCACTCAGACTAGTTACAGGTTACATCCCTGTTTATCCAGTCATACAAAATATTAAGTGTTCGTGTGAAATTCTGTCATAGTTGCTGTGTGAAGTCTAGAGTAATGGCTAAAAACGTCTTTTGTGTAGTCACAGTGACCTTTGACCTTTGACCTTTGACCACTAAAATCTAATCAGTTCATCCTTGAGTCCCAGTGGACATGAAAAAAAATCCCTCATGGCGTTCATGGCGTTATCGTGTTCACGACAATGAGCCAGACGGATGGACAACCCGAGAACATAATGCTTCTGCACCTGCGACAGCCATTTTGAATAAAAAGAGTGATTTGCCGGACTTATAAGGTGTGCATTATGTCAGTGAAGGTCCTCACAAGTATATAACTACAAAAGACAGACAGAGAGTAAGAATGTGCAGAGGTTTTGCATATTTCTGTTTTTAAAAGAGAGGAAGTATTTAAGTGAGAACAAGGGAAACGGAAATGTGTGTGTATGTATGTTGTATATATTTCTGTGTGTGCGTGTGTGGGAGAGAGTGGGTCTGTGTCATGTGAAGATACTGTGGCAAACAGAAATGGAGATGCTCCTCTTCCCTTCATCTTGATCAGACTACATTATTCTATATTCTTTTTCAGGTATCAGCGGCTTCACTTCTCAAACATCACTGTGAATCTCAGAGTTTGTCTCTACTTGTCACATTGTTAAGTGAAGACTCATACAGAGGCTGCTCGTTAATCCACAAGTTCAGTCAAGCCTGTTGAAGACAATTGTTCATAAAATCTCATAAAGCACACCTACATCTCCTCATCAAATATAAATAAATATAATATAAAATAAAATAATTATGCAAAACAGGCAAAAAAAAAATTCCTCCTTTTTCTCTTTAACACTGTTGTGAAACAGTCATTCTGCATGTGCTTTGTATTTCTGACTTTAGTTGCTGGTGACAACAAATAGCCAAAAGGAGACAATGGTAAAAATAAAAATCAATCATAAGTGGCGTCAGTCCCGAACGAGACCTTCTTTGGCATTTTGCACCAACGCTCAACAATCATACAGAGAGAAATCCATCTTAGAAGAGACATAAAGATAAAATTCTCCTACCACAGGAGCAGGAAATAGACCAGAATGCAATGCAGTTACATGACAGGTTTTGTTTTTGAGTAAATGATGAAATATGGCTCACATTCTTCTTATCTCTGTACTGTTGTGCAACAACAGCAGGTATAACCAACAACAATTTTAACTATAATGCAATGTTCATCACTTGTTTTGAATTCAAAACTTGCTGCCTAACATGTAATTCTCAGTCATTACACAAGCTCCCATGACACTTGTGCCTCTTGGCTCCTGTGCCTTCATAATACTTAATTGTTTTAACTGCAGAAACATGTTTCCATGCGTTCAATGTTGATTACTTATTATACAGTGTAATTTTGTTCCTCAGAATTTGAATGTAATCTGATATTTAGGCGAGTTGATATAGTTGGAGTTATCAGCCTGAGAAAAAATGAGCTGTTGACCCCTACTGACTTGTTACTCGCACTCCCTCTGCTGTGTACCAGTTACCTATAAGTACTCATCAAGTATCATTTATGCAGCTGACACCATATGGTAGCCTCTGAAAATTTGCCAATGCCCCATAAACCAACCAGTACGCCTCATAAAAAACATAAAAATATTTAGGAACAAGCGCAACACAAGCATAATATAAACTGAAAAATAAACCCAATTTCCTTTTTTAAACTATGTCAAAATACTCTGCTATGTTTAATATTTTGTTTTACATGGTTTTCCAAGATAAAAAAGTGAAAAGAAAATGGAAAACTGGGGCATGAAGTACATCTACACTTACTTCCTCATTGAGAAACTCTGGATCAGGCCTTGTGCCCCGCCCACCACTGCTGCGTACGCTAAGTTGACAAGTGAAAGAGCAGAGAGTATCAAGGGGGTTTAAGGAGG